CCCTTGTGAAGTCAATGGGCAGTACATATAGGACACACAAAAGTACTTCCCCCATAGAACACATAACTTGTGGAACTCATTGCCACTGGATGACATAATGGCCACTGATGGCTTTAAAGGGGGATTGGGACCAACTCCTTGAGGTCCACCAACAGTTGTCAGCCGTGCCGGCTAAGAAGAACCTCCATTTTCAGAGGACGTGTACCTCTGAATAACCATTGCAGGGAGACAATAGGGAATAACTTTGGCCCCTGTACCACTTGTAGGATTTCCAGGGCACCTGGTCATCTCCTCTGGGACTGGACAGACACCTCGTCTGATACAGTAATGCTCTCCTTCTGCGGTAACTGCCAAGATAAAGAAGAGATTGGCTCCTAAACACACGCACACCCCATTTCATGCCATATGTCTTTGGTGGATTTAAGTTGTTATAAGCTGTTTTGGGAGTTTATCTTGGCTAGAAAGCAAGGAATATTCCCATTATGTAATAGCTTTTCATATGGAAGCAGCTCCCATAGGAGGTTTGGGGGCTCAGGGTGCCAAATATTGAGCCAAAAGCCAATACTCTTTTTTTTTCCCCCACAGTTAAAATTCTGCCGGCTCCGGACTCACCAATGCTGTTTCATCCTCTTTAACGTTGCACTTTTCCATGTTTTGCTCTTTGGGGCTGACCTTGTAGAAGAATACTTCCTACGGGCCCTCCCCACTACCTACACCGACGTGAAGATGCTCGATACCAGGGAGAAGGCACGCAAGTTGGACATGTCCCCCCTGAAATCCAACATCTCGAAAGCTTACATCATTAGCAGTTCAGAGGCTTGCGCCCACCAAGAGATCTTCCTACTGGTTCTCGTATTCAGCAACCCTGAAAATGCATCAAGGCGCGACACCATTCGACAAACATGGGGTAACATGACGGACATCAGAGGCTACAGCACTGTTATCTTGTTTGTTTTAGGGAAGCCTCCTTCAGAAGCCACCCAGTTGGAGGTCATCAAAGAATTTCAGGAGCATCAAGACCTTATTGAAGGAACTTTCCTCGATTCACCTGAGAACCAAACATTGAAGACCGCTTCCGCAGTGGAGTGGACTGTAACTTTCTGCCCTGGGACAAGGTTCATCCTCAAAACTGGCGAGGAGATGTTTGTTAACCTTGCAAATTTGGTTGACTACTTGCTGAGCTTGAGAACTCATCTTGAGGACATCTATCTGGGGAGAGTGGTCCGTCAAGAGGAGCCCGACAGAGACCCTCAAAGTCCCAGCTTTGTCCCCCTGCGATTATATCCAGAGAAATACTACCCTGACTACTGCAGCGCAACAGCATTTGTCATTTCACAGGCTGTAGCGCGGATGATCTATGTAACCTCTCATGAAGTTCCTCTTTCGATGCCTCCTGGGGCCTTCGTGGGAATCTGTACAAAGAATGCCGGCGTGACCCCTATTCATAGCTCTCGGTTTTCTGGGAAAAAACACATCCAATATAACCGGTGCTGCTACAAATTCATCTTCACCTCAGCAGTATCAAGAGATAGCCAACTGCTCCAAGAATGGGAGGAAGTTAGTGATGGCAAATCTTGCACCTTACTGGAAAACTATTATGGGCTGGTGTCCTGCCGAGTCATGACTTACCTAGATGGATTTAAATACCTAAGTGTTGATGCCCTAGAGAACGAGGCTCTTCATTCTGCCGATTAGATGCTAGAACTTCTGATGGAACTAACCCAGAGTCCCAAGTTTGACGTGCCCAATGGATTGATCAAATGGTTTGGGGAAAACTATTTGTTAACCAGCCGTCACAACCTGAGGCAGAGTTCCATAGAGTAGTTATCCCTTGTGTGAAGTAGTTTCCTTTTTCATTGCACTATCCAAGCACAAGTTGTCCCACAACCAAGAGGCAGAGCTTCTTACTCCTCCTCGCCAGTGACTGTGGAGGCCTATCAACTATTATCAAATTGTCAGGATGCTTTACAGCCAAAAGCATTGACCCGGCTTACATATGCATTTAAATATCCATTTAAAGATAATTTTTTTAAAAAATAGTAAAAGTACTTCAAGAGAAAGGTCTTTCTTCAAGGCAACATGATGGTATGCCAGAGATGTCGCTTCTCTCCCCAGTGTTCTTACTAATTGGTAGGAGGGTGTTTGCAAGGGCTCTTTTTGTAGCAGGTACTCATTTGCATACTAAGCGACACACACCCTAATGTAGCCAATCCTCCAAGAGCTTACAGTAGCTCCTGTAAGAAGAGCTCTGTAAGCTCTTGGAGGATTGGCTACATTAGGGGTGTGTGGCCTAATATGCAAAGGAGTTCCTGCTACCAAAAGAGCCCTTTTGGCCTCAATGCTCAGGGGCAGCAAGGAGTAATGAGTCGTTCATAAGCTTCGGGGGTACCTGGCAAGCCACAACTGGTAAGACTACCCAACTAGATGGAACTTTAGTATGATGCCCCCTGGAAGTTCCCTGAAGCTTAAAAAAAACCCTACCTTCTCTTTCAGAAAAGCTCTTTGACTAATTGTGCTTCCCACAACTGCCCCCAACCTCCATTAAGAGTATTCTCATGTTCCCATTTCAAACAAGTACACGCAAAGCACAACTGGGGATATATGTAACCAAGCCTGTCAAGCAATTAAACCCTTTCTAATCTATGTCTTCTCTTGCTTTGAAGCAACTGCTTATGAAAATGTATTTAAAACTCAGTCTCAAAGCAAGGAAGTCCTAAGGATCTCAGAGAACTTAAGATGATACTCATTATGGGGGGGAAAGGAAGTTAATGTTTCCTCTTTCACAAAGTTTGGGATTCTGAAAGAGCCCTCGTTATGCTATAGGAGCAAAATGGCTTCTGAAAGATAAACAAGTCCATGGCTGAGCAGCAGGGTCAAGGAGCCAGAAAAACAGTCAATATCTCAGCAGGGTGCATCCAACTGCTTGTGGTTCTTGAGGCCAGATTTTTCAGTTAAGGGAAGGACAGATGGCATATGTCATCGGCACGGCAGTCAGATCCAGAGTTAATCAGGGGACAAAATCTGAATCTAGAACAAAACCTGTTATTGTATACAACCTTCTTTGGTATTACTGCAAGTTTTCTGCATACAGATTTGCCTTGTCTTGCCTGCTGTGGGGTTATGATCACCAAAGGGAAGAGACATTTATTGTTCTATCATTGTACTAAGCTACAGAGGCCAGTTTGGTGTAGCAGTTAGGAGCACAGACTAATCTGGGAGAAGTGGGTTTGATTCCCCACTCCTCCACATGCAGCTGCTGGTGTGACCTTGGGTCAGTTACAGGTTCCCCCAGAGCTGTTCTCTCAAGGGCAGTCCTCGAAAGAGGTCTTCAGCTTAATCTACCTCACAGGGCATCTGTTGTGGGGAGGAGAAGGAAAAGGAGATTGTAAACCACTCTGAGACTCCTTCGGGTAGTGAATGGCAGGCCGGGTATAAATCCAATCTCCTCTTCTTCTCTCTCTCTCTCACACACACAAAAACACACACTTCCCAGCTCTGAGATCACCCCTATGCAAGGAGCCTTAGAAGAGGTTCAAAAAGCATCTCATTTCTTTCTGAATCTCCTAGCTACCCCAAGCCTTCTAGCTATAGACGGGGGACTTTTAAAAATAATTTTAATGCTTGCCTCTGGCAACCTCCATATTCCATCATCGCTAGTCATTTTACTGATGTTCCCCAGAATGTCAAGGACCTCAGGTTACAAAGGCACTGCTGAACTCCTTCAAGCAAGTGTCGGTTCACCAGCAGACAGCCGGTAAAGAAAGCCGGTAAAGAAAGACAGTGGATCTCCTGAGAGCATCCCTAAATGGACAATGTTATTGGGCCAAGCAGATTCAGCCAGCCAGTCTGCCAGCAGGCAGTAAAAGACAGAACTTGCCTGCCTGCTTCATGTCACAGCAAGTTAAGGCAGAGAATGGCAAAATGCTTCTGTGACGACCTCTTATTTGGGGAGGTCTAGTTTTACTTTTAAAATGTTCTTTATGTTTGCTCTCAGGGTAATTTGGCTGCCACCAGGGAAATTTAGGCTTTCCCGGACCTTGTCCTTTAATATTTTTCCTACTGGTTTTGGTATTGTGACCCAGGGTTTGGGCTTTCGAAGGACTAAGTGTTTCCTGGGAAAAATTTCATTCAGAACTTGTGTCTTAAATAAAAGTAGATTTATTTGATGTTCACACACTCTTCCCTCTTATTGACAGGGATCAGGGCATGTCACTTTGTAACAATCTTTTCCTTAGGCCATATATGGTTACTGTTTCTTTATGCTTTAACTTTTCATAACACACACCAGACTTCTCTCTCTCTGACCTTAAAACGAACAAACTGCTTAACTCTTTTACTACACAGAACCCAATCTTTCCCTCACAGGGATCTCAGGACAACTCTCATTTTAACTGCTTTTATACAGCACTCTCTGCTGTCTAACTCATCAACTGTTTAACTGACAACTCTTAACAGACACTCCTGAAAGACATTCCAATCATCCACACAGCATCCATTCCAAAACCCCTCCCCCTCTCTGTCACTCACCAATCATATCACTTGCCTGAGTCCAGCATCCTAGTCTGTCATACATTCATACAAACCAAACTTTAAAGACACACACACCCAGTAAAACATGGAATCGTTACAGCTTCTTTTCTCTCTTCCTGCATTGGCTTGGGGAAGAGCTCTAGATGGGAGTGGGGAATGTTTCAGATGGGCATGGAATAAGAAGATGGCTGAGATAGGGAGAAGAACACAGAGAAACCCGATAATTAGCATACCTTCCCCAATATAATACAGAGCAGAAGAACTCTTTTCTCCCCTGAAACGTAACTTGCAGAAAAATGGAAGGATTCTTGTATTCACAGCTAAAGTAGAGTTATGCTTGATAAGCTATCACAAAATAAAACTGCAGGAAGGACTTATTGTTTATAATATACCATGCATAATTTAAAAAATCAGATTTTGTTATATGGAAAATGGAGCTTACCCAGTCCAGACATCTGCAAATGTTGGTGCTGTTCATTATTTAGTTGGTGCTGATTATTATTTAGTTTACCTCAAAGAAGATTCACACGTGGGTGGGGGGTTTTTTGGAAATAGATGCCTCCAAATATTCACTTTGAAATGTAGACATGCAACACTGTGCCTGAAAACACACACAGACCACTGTAGATATGCCTTACAGAGAAATACCACACATAAGAGAGACCAAAGGCTGAAATATTTTACCAAGATCTCAACAGCAGAACTGGCTAATTTACATTTAAGGTTATATTCTCACCACAGAGAGAATTTGACCATTTTAACAACTCAACTTATTGTGGAAATGATTTTCCTTTACAGAAAAAGAAGACCGTCAATCCCAGAATTACATGTTTATTTGAAGTTCTTTGAAAGCGTCAGAGGCAAAGTACCAATGGCACACTGGCTACACAACAGCACATATAATTGAATGAACAAGCATGATGGCAACATGGAGGTGTATCCCAATACTGCACTGCAAAATGGGAAAGGATACAATCCCTCTCCTTTGCCTACAAAGGGCAGTGAACACTAGCATACGTTTCTGTTTCGCTATGTTCGGGTATAAGGCGGAGAAGAAGTGGTTTGCCAGACAGAAAGCTAGTCTGAATACTGCCCAATATTAAATTCCCTCCACGTATCCAAATTATGGCACAATGTGTGATCAAAATGATTCAGTCCTTGTAATGAGTTTTCTGATAAGAACCACAGCTGCCCAGAATCCAGATGTAGGCCGTGCTACCATCCTCCCAAATGAGTGACATATCTTGAAAATCAAGAGATATTTTTGATCCCACACTAGAAGACATCCTACGGCTCCCTCTGTGTCAGTCCGAAGCTGCATACCTGCAAGCATTCGCTGATACAGGCTGCAAGATGATGCAGGAGAATTCAATCTGTCTTAATAATACGTTTCCCAATGTTGTGTTGTGTTCTCCCCTCCCTCCGTGCGCCATTACACTCTACAGCACTGTCACAGTGCACATCCCCAAGCAGCTGATGATTGGGGGGGGGGGGAACACACAGACATGACAAAGTAACATCACATGCACCTGAAGCTACACGGGGAAGGGGAGAAGAACACAGCAATTCCACTGGCAGTGGCCAGAGAGCCTGGCTCCAATTCTATAAAATGCTCCGCTTGCGACCACTAAAAAAAAAGTTCTTGTTTTATGACTCCCCTCCTCCTCAATCCTTTTCCCATGTCCAACGAACACTCCTTTAGTCACACGGGATACTGACGGGGTATTGGCAGATTCTCTGCAGCTTAACACCACTGGCTGCAAGGGTGGTCAAAGGATACACTCTGTCCTGCTGGAAGGGCAGCTAATGCTGTTTGACTTCAAAGGCCCCTAAGTCACTTGTGCCAGCCTAATTTTGGACACACGAGCGAGAACTCCCCAAAGGCTAGAGGATAAACAGGCACTGTTTCCTAACTGAACTACTGAACTACGATGAACTATACCACTAGAAGAATGCTCTAAAACCTTAAAGCGCATCATCATGTTCCTCACACATGGAAGAGGCACTTGGCAAACTGAAACCATCAAAGGAACTCACTGAGATTACTTTGTATTGAAAAGCGGCTACACAACCCACCCACCCCAGCCCTCAAGTCCTTGCCACAATTCAGCAAGCTAAACTCGGAACAGATACGTAGCTCTAACTAGCATGCATGCACTAGATGGTGGTCATTTCATGTGAAACAAGTTTCCACACAACTCGCATCAATGGAAGCTGTGCTGAGAATCTGGGTTACTTTTAAAGATGGAATACAGATCTTCTAACTGAAATATATAATAGGGAACGTGCGTGTTCTGTTTGTCTTGTCTGTCTTGTCAAGCGTAAAAAAAAAAAGAGTACGTTTTTGGGTTTTTTAAAAGAGACTGACCCACAGATGCTGTTGTAAACATTTTCTTTTACAGTTCTAGTACAGCAGTGGCTCACTGATTCAAATTTTGGTTCCTCTGTAAAGCATGGTAATCTCTGCTTTGAGGCTTAGTTAAATAGCATCACTTCTATCTAGTTTTCAGCATTAAGGATTCAAGCGAAGGTTCCCATCCAGCAAATGGACTTCTGACCTAACACTCACTCAGCAGAAGAGATTACAATGATAGCTGAAGTTCTACATAGTGCCTCTGTTGCTGAACTGCACCATTCCACACTGCCAGGAGGGAAAGGGAAGAAACCCCCCGAACTTTTTTATATATACAGAACCAGACCATCAGGAAGAAGATCCTAGGGTAGGTTTTTCCCTTACATACCAACAACGTACTTAATCACTTCAAGCAGGTGAGTAAACACTAATGTGCCAACTGTAGTATAAAATGATGCAACCTAGAAACAGGTGCCAACACAAACTGTTTCTGCAAATGTTTTTCCCTCTTTGCTCCATTAAGATCAGGGGGATGTGTTACCACACAAAAAACTAATACCCAGAAGCCAGCACACGGGCAGAACACGCTGTCCCCTCCATGTAGAGTGGACTCACCTGTCTCACATACCTGCAGCAGCCTCACTGAACACTGCAGTTGCATTTAGGGTCATGGGCGTACAGAGCCCCTTCCATGTTGCACTCAGCATTTAGATCTGGCCAATCCTTTGCACTGGGTTGGTTAAATGGATGCATCCACCCTCCCCTACAAACACACTCCCCAAAACTCTGAAAAAAGCGTTAAGAAGAGCCCGCTGATACATGTCTTGTTAATGAAGCATCAGACTCTAACACTAATGAGCCAAGTACGTTTTGTTACACTACCGCATGGCATTAACTAATGTGGTCCTTAGCACTTCTACCCAGTAACCTGTCATTTCAAATTTTAACACACACACAAGCGCACACCAATTGCTTCCTCAGGTGTCTTTTTCCTCCCCCTTCACACCCAACTGAGTCAAATCCCCTCTTCTGGAGGAGTCCGACATTAATTTGCCATTCCTGGAATTCCTGGACAGGAATTTACATCTTCGGGCAAATGTTAATCAGCCCCTTCCACAGCCGTGGTCGAAACGGCCTTGACGTAATAAGGCCCTTCATGCATAAAACCCCGAAGCTTTACAAAATGTTGGTTCCCAAAGATCTCCGCACATGTCTTGGAATTGGCAAGAGCCTTGACGAGTTCATATTTGGCTTCCTTGGAAAGCTTATCAGGATCCACCGATCGGTCCACGACGTATTCTACAAAGCCTGGACTGGCGATCATCAACCTCTGGGCCCAGGGCTGGTTAGCGATGGCCTAAAGGATTAAAGGAACACATTAAAATCAGAGCTTGAGACCCTAGCTGTGACAAGCTTATTTACGGAAGACGCCTGAAATTCTAGGGAGCCAATGAATGAAGATTCATGGCAGATATAAGGCTTCACCCATGACCCCTTCGATCCCATTATGGTGGCTTTCCCGTTGCTTTTGTTCTCCTACGTATTACGCGGGTTTGCTTGTACCACTGACTCCAGCTGAATGCTTTTTTCATTACACCCTCCGAACATTTAGATGTACATCCCAGTTGAACAGTGGGGCACTTACAGCGAAGACCCGTAAGGAACCACAGTGGAGTTCAGGGAATGGCTGCGTGCTGATGTTCCTGATGAGTTCCAGAGGCTGGCTAGACAGACAAGAGAACCAGGACTCCATCATTCGCACGAGGTCGTCTGTCTGTTCGTCTGTCTGCAGGTGAAGAATTGGCAGAAGATAACAATCCCCAGTTAAGTTCTACCCACAAGCACCAAGTCTCGGTGACATCTGTTCATACAGGGATATACGACAAGGATCTCACAGGATCTGTTCTGCTGTCAAAGTGACTCAGTGCTATACCTGTAGAACAGCTTCCTTTTCCTTGTGTTCATCGGCTTAGAGTGACTCCGTTTTCAGCTCATTGCTTGAATTAAGTGTGAAAGGCTTCCAGCAAGGATTACTCATTAGAGCAGGAATCCCCAGCATGGCTACCTATGGGTGCCACGGTGCTCGCTGCCACCTTTCCTGATGAGGGAGGCCAGGTGGGGCTTTTGCCCAGCAAGGCTTCTGATAAGCTACTGGAGATATGAAGGCCTTTGCCAAACTTTAAAAACGTTGCTGCAGCAGCTGCTGCCCCCACAGCACAAGGACGTTCGCTGAGTGACTGAAGGTAAGCTGTGGCGGCGGCCATTTTGGGGCTGGCTCTGCCTCCCATGGCAGCCGTTTTGTGGCATTCGTTTTGTGCTGGGTCCGCCATGCGGTGTCAGAATTCCAAAGCTGTCCTCAGGCTGAAAAGCATAGGGGACCCCAGCATTAAGACTAATCAGAAATCCCTCATTTTGACTCAGGGTGGACTCCAGGATACACAGAGGCCACCAGCTATTCTACCATCTTAGGGACTGCAGGGCTTCATTTCTCCGTTGCTCACTATCAGAAGAAAACAAGGCCACTCTCCCACACACACACACCCATATTGGCTAGGGGGCCTCCTTTGAAATTCTCAAGGTCTTTAATTTAACAGACTCAAATCTAGGCATGATCAAAAGTTAAAAGTCTTTCATGTACCGAGAAACCCCTCTGGAAGCTAAAAAGTACCCATCTGGCATGCTACTTTAATCATACTTCTTTCTTTAATTACATATTAAGACTCATAAGATTTCTTGCACTCAAGCTATTCTTTTCATTCTCACTGAAATGCTGCTGTGCTGTACACAGTTTATAAGTAAAAGCATTTGAGAGTAACTTTTGGGTTTGGTTCTCCTCACACAGGTGAGGAGAATCACTGACAGCCTTTGCAGGGGTTAGCATGTCCAACTAGGATATGGGTGACCCACGTTCAAATCCCCACTCTGCCGTGGAAGACCTTCCACTCTAGGTGACCTTCGGCCAGTCACAGATAGGGGTGTGCACTCAGTATATACCGAACAGAATAAATACCCGAAAAATGCCTCAGCAGTATTTGGGGGGTATTTATTCAGCCAAATCAAATTCTCTAACGTGATTTGGCTACGAATAAAGCCGGCCCGAATAAAAGCAAAAAAAAAAAAATGGCTTTTATTCAGGTAGCTAAGTGGTGCAAAGATTGCCCACTTCTGGGTGAGTGCTTCTGCACCTACCGGCCCTTAACACTGGTCAGTTTTACCCCCTCCCTTTCCAAGGGGAGGAGAGTGAAAGTGACCAGTTTAATGGCTTTTATGGCATTTCAGCCTACCAGCAGGGCATGCTGCTGTCAGGCTGAAATGTCTGAGAGTCATCTAACCCTTTTGTTTCGCTGACCCACCCCTCCCGGCAGCAGGGGGCAGCTAAAGGGAGGGGTTAAATGATGAGTCAGCCCGTCAGCTGTTCAGTTTAAATGGCAGGAAACCATTTCAGACCTCCCCTCCCCCCATTTTCAAATGGAGAGGAGGGAAAGGGAGATCTGCAATGGCTTGTGGCCATTTAAATTGAACAGCTGACAGGCTGACCCACGAGGCTGTTTGGTCAGAATGGCCGCAAGCCATTTCAGACCTCCCTTTCCTTCCCCACGTTCCAAGCGGGAAGAAGCAAAAGGGAGGTCTGAAATGTCATGCAGCCATTTAAACCTAACAGCTGATCGGCGGGTCTGCCAGTCAGTTGTTCAGTTTAAATGGCAGGAAACCATTTCAGTACTCCCTTTCGCTTCCCCGCTTCGAAGTGGGGGGGGGGAGTGAAAAAGAGTGGTGAAATGGCTGCTATTGCCAGTCATTTTAAGCCGAATAATTCAGCTTTCCTGAATATTTCCTGAATCACACTGGTATTTGGATTCGGGAATATCGGCAAATCCCAATATTTTTCAGGTCTGATAAACTCTAACCCAAGCCTAAGTTACCTCACAGGGCTGGTATGAAGATAAAACAGAAGAGAGGAGAATGGTATAAGCTCTCTGAGTGCCCACTGGGGAGACAGGAGAGACATAAATGAAGCAAATAAATTCAATTGCTCAGCAGTTCTTTGACACACGAAGTTATTCATAAGAAGCTGGAAGTAAGTCTTTATACAGCTTACCGGTAGGTAGAGAAGAGATGCCAGGGCATCCAGGCATCGCACCCTGAGCTCTGCTGGGCCGCTCTTTGCCTGACATCCCATTCGATTTAGCATGTGCTGAAATCGCCTCCCTGGAAAGATATAAGGAGTAGATTCTTTCTTTAAAATCCTTCCTTTACATCTACTTTTCTGTACCAAAAAGTGACGATGAGAGCTTGATGTCTGGAATCATGTGGAAGTGCAAGATATGCAGTTAATTTGAATTCCCAAGGAATAATCTGGAAAACTGCAGATTCATTACCCCAAGTGTAAAAAAGGCTCCTGGTCGTATTGCAAGAGGACCCATCGAATACCCATCAGCAATGTCTATCCAAGCTAAGCGAGAACAATCATTGAGAGTTCAGGTTTTTCTTCGCCCCAACAGCATTAGAAATTTCCTTGGGTCTCAGATCTCCTGGGCTATTGTGCCCTTAATTTGCTTTGCATTCCCATCTACATTCACCATTTAAGGGCCGATCAGAGACCAAAGAAAGGAAGCAGAGAAAACATCTCCTGGGTAATTATGGGACTGTTTCCTTGCTCACATCTTGGATCAGGATATGTTTATGGAAATAACATGGCAATCTTGTCCCACAGGCAATGCCCATCCCCCCTTTCTGGATTCCATGGGGCACCTCAAAGTTCCTCTCTAACCAGCTGACAGCACTCTTATTTGGCAGGGCAACCTACCCTAAGCAACAGTAGCTGGTAATCCAGATGTTTCTGCACCAGACCTCTAGGGCAAGCTCTCATTTTATTTGCGAGGGGAAGAAGGGAGAGCTCACTTCGCAACCCAGACAAGGAAATCTTTGGCCCTACAGCAGTTTGGCTGAGAAGAGTAAGACAGTCCTGAAAAAGCTGATTCAGAAAGACTCTAATAGAGTTGAGAGGGCCCAAGGAAAAGAAAAACAGAAAAATCGGGAAACACAGGTGTCTTTTTTTCCTGTTTGAGGAATGTTTTTCAATTTTTTTTCTATGAATACATTTGGAGGAATGCTAGAAAGACACTCCTATGGAACACATTATCGTACGACAAGGCTTTTTGCATTCAAAATGTAAGCATGGAAAAGTCTGAGGACTTTCTCAAATTTTTCAAAACCCAGTGGGAACACTGAAAAATTGGGGGGGGGGGGGGCAAACATAAAAAATTGGGGGGGGGGGGGCACTAAAAAATCTCCCGCACTACAGACACACATAGTATTTTCAATATTTGTTTAAACGTATGCAGTTTTTCCAATAATCAAGATGTTATGTGTGTAATAATAATACATGATTAGAGAGTTGTTTTCTGTTTAATAATTGGACCATTTTATGTTTAAAATACTTTTTGTATATGGTTTTATGGTACTGGGTACTGATTAATGTAAGTCGCCCTGAGCCTGCTTGTGGGAAGGCTGGGGTATAAATTGAAGTAAATAATAATAACAACAACAACAACAAAAACTTTAGCTTCATTTCCAAATATGCCAGCAGTCCTACCTAGGTGAGACTGAGTTTCTATCCAAACAATGTAATTTGTTTACTACAGAATTCGCTTTCTACTTCCCAACTTATTTTCGTTACCTCTCAGATGGCACAAATTAAAGATACATGTGCTATAATTGCATGTATTTCATTTTTTCCCCAAATTTTCATGGCTTCAAAAATTTCTAGAAACTGTATTCTGTAGTAACTGAATGGAAAGGAACACCCTTTCGCCCACCATTTTACACTCTCTGAAAAGATACAGGTCAACAGGACATTAGGAAGCTTCCAGAACCTCCAGAAGAGCCATGACCTTTGGATTTCATGCTAGCAGGAGAGACTTCGGAAGATTCTCATTATGTCTTCGCTATCTGGACCATGAACAACAACAATCTGAAATATGATTCTTGATGGACCTAATTTATTCCAATAATGAAGTAGGATTTATTCGGTTAGCGAACTGGCCCTGCTGCTTGTGTGTGTATGTTTGTGTGAGTAATATAGTTTCAGAAACTATACTTTTAAATTTTATAAATGACTCACACAATAATTACTCCAGATGATCTTTCTTTCTTCCCTATTTTTCTTTTTTCAGCTTTTAGCGTTTAGGTTAGAAATGTATTTTGTATTGTGAATAATTTCACTTTAGGGTGTATATTTTAATAATTTGTACCACTGAGGAAGGCCTTGTGGACAAAACGCAGTTGGTTTTAATGGAATTTTTTTTATCATTCATTATTGGTAAAACATTAAAGCTTTGTTAATTTAACAGATGTAACCCATTCACTGTTCCCTCTAAGCTGAGTTAGTGTGAGCTAGCTCACAGGTTTTTAGCCTCCAGCTCACACATTTTTGTTTTAGGTCAGGAAGGATGGCTACAGAGCAAACCAATTTAATGCAGTAGCCAAATGGCTCGCTCACAACTTTAATGCCAGTAGCTCACAAAGTAGAATTTTTGCTCACAAGACTCCACAGCTTAGAGGGAACACTGAACCCATTAGTAGTTATTCTGTTATTAGGCTTTTTGTCTCTTGGTTACCTGAGACTTCAGAAGATACCAGCGCACTCCCACACAACGGCAGTAGCAATTATCACGGCAGAAAGTTTTGAAGAATCCATTCACTCCATTCCTTGTATGCGTGTGTGTGTGCCTGTAAAAGATCCTCTTCGAATGACCCATCAGCTGTACTCACCCGTCTTCTGCAAGACCAGCTTTCCCTCCACGGTTGAGCCCAAGATCCCAAGCGTATCCACGGCCACGCCGTACATGGTCTGGTCGTGGCCTTCTGCCATGCTGAGGACTTTCTTCATAAAGATGGGGTACTGCTCACAGACCTGTTCTGGGCTGTCGACTATGGCCAAGTTGCCAAAAAACTTCACAAAGCCTGCCAAACCCAGGAGAAGAACAGGAGTTAACCACGCCCTCCAGGATAGCAGCCCCAAAAGAGAAATGAGAATTATGTCTACGTCCCTCAAGGAGCAGTTGAGTGGAAGCCTACACCAAAGCAGGGGGAGAAGACACACAGCAAGCTGGTCTTAAAATAACCGGAGTGCCTAAATGGACAGAAGATATCCAAATGGTATTGTGGGAAGAGGGCAGAGTGAGATTTTTTTTCAGAGTTAGATCTTTTTGTTCAGGTTTTAAAAAACTGGTATGAATAGATTTCAACCTTTACACTTAAAGGTAAAGGTAAAGGTTCCCTTGCTCGAAAGCCAGCCGAATCCAACTCTAGGGTTGCGATGCTCATCTCCGTTTCAAAGCCGAAGAGCCAGCGCTGTCCGAAGACATTTCTGTGGTCATGTGGCCGGCATGACTAAACACCAAAGCGCACGGAACGCTGTTACCTTCCCACCGAAGTGGTACCTATTTATCTACTTGCAATTTCTTGCTTTCGAACTGCTAGGTTGGCAGGAGCTGGAACTAGAGACGGGAGCTCACTCCGTCATGCGGCACACTCGGGTCTCGAACTGCTGAACTACCGACCTTCCACAGCCTGCAGTTCAGCGTCTTAACCACTTGAGCCACTTAAAGCTGTATTGGTAATGCAGGGCAGTTATTATTTTAAACTGCGAATATATACTTTGAATGGCTTTATAGCTGAGAATAAAATCTGTTACTATTAACTATTAAATGGTGTGAACAGTGTAACTAATAATATAGTAGTATAGTTATATGATGTTTTCGTTAATAATGTAACTACTTCGGATCTTGTACTGTTTGTAATGCGAATGTCTGACAGTTTGGCTTTTACATTGAAAATATAACAAATTTTTAAAAATATATATACTTTGAATCTAAAAGCGTGTGCTTTATATTGCAAGAACACATCTTCTTTCAGTATTACTCTGCCTAGTTAAATCTAGATTGAGGTGGGCACCCTGTGGCCTGGAGCCTGTGCCCTTTTTAAGCTGGCAGACCCCCCCTCCCAGCATTCTGGGCTCTCCTCTTAGAAGACGTTTGAACCCTCCTACCTGCAGCAATATCAGAATTTGAGACAACACATATCCAAGTCCACTTTGGAGCGAGGAAGTGTGGTGTGGGTGTGAGAGCACTGAACAAGAACTTGGGAGACCCAGGCTCAAACCCCCACTCACCACAAAGCTTACTCAGGGTTTTCTTTGGGGGGGAGAGACTATTGGGTCAGTCGCTCTCTCGCTCTACCTAGCCTACTTTGCAGGGAGAATAAAGTGGGAGAGAACTCCTAGCAGCACAAACAAAACACGGGGTAAAAATGGATAAGATGTTGAAAAGCTTGCCCGGTCTAGACATACTCTGGGGGAGTCCATTGTCTGCTGTCAGAAAACATAAATATGTGGGAGCTTAATTTAAAAAGAGGGAAGAAGACAATTATCATACAATGCCTCTGACAACCTGAACTGCAAAGAAAGAAAGAAAGAAAGAAAGAAAGAAAGAAAGAAAGAAAGAAAGAAAGAAAGAAAGAAAGAAAGAAAGAAAGAAAGAAAGAAAGAAAGAAAGAAAGAAAGAAATGCATGCTGTTAAGTTACCTTCATGCCTGAGAAGAGACGAACGGGGAATCTCAGTTTACTTTCCCAAGATTAGAAAAGATGCCTTTACACATTTATCCCCTATTTTGACATGTTTATTGCTTTGCTGTCCTTTCCCCCCTTAATTAAATCAAAACAACTGCTGATGTTATAATCTTAGCTTGTTATTTAGTTTTGTCTTTGTAGGTGGCTCAAGTGGTTAAGACGCTGAACTGCAGGCTGTGGAAGGTCGGTAGTTCAGCAGTTCAAGACCCGGGTGCCGCATGACGAGTGAGCTCCCGTCTCTAGTTCCAGCTCCTGCCAACCTAGCAGTTCGAAAGCAAGAAATTGCAAGTAGATAAATAGGGACCACTTCGGTGGGAAGGTAACAGCGTTCCGTGCGCCTTGGTGTTTAGTCATGCCGGCCACATGACCACGGAAACATCTTCGGACAGCGCTGGCTCTTCGGCTTTGAAACAGAGATGAGCACTGCAACCCTAGAGTCGGACTCGACTGGCTTTCAAGCAAGGGAACCTTTACCGTTACCTTTTATCTTAAAACATCATCATGTTACATGTTAGTTTGCAGTTCAGCCTCTGTCTATTAAGTCTGAACTCTACCTTCCCTTCCAATGTATCTGAAGAAGTGTGCATGCACACTTAAGCTCATACCTTGAATAAACCCTTGTCGGTCTTAAAGGTGCCACTGGGCTCTAGATTTGTTCTACTGCTTCAGACCAACACGGCTGACCAACTGGAACTGAACTTCCCCTGTGAGCCTCCTGTGCTCTCCTGCATGCCCTTGAGGACACCACACTGAAATTAAGCCCAAAATAAACCACGCAAACAAGAACACTATGTCACCTGGCAAGTAGAAGCCAGAAAAAGGATCGGAGTCTGCCCCAATGATGATGTTGGAAATCGTGTCAATGACCCCTTGCTGGGCAAGATACTGGCGCCCGTGAGGAGTGCGGGCGAGAGTCGTCACCATCTCAATACAGGTAGCTCTGCAATGTGGAAAATATTACAGTCATAAAGGCCTTTTCACATTCCTTTGGCATTCCATCAGTCTCAGATTTCACTATAGCAGCAACAATCACACCTCACCCCAAAGGCATCTTACAGCTCTGGAAGGCAGATGCTTGATTGGCACTCCTCAGGTTCAGCGGACAGCCTAAAGCCACCTCCATAGGCAGCCAAAAGATCAGCACTTATTTTGATGGGATGAAGCAGATTCTTATGTCCCCATGGCCAAAACCCAGAGAACAAAGGAGTTTCTTCTAGCAGATTCAGGATTCATGAGCCATGGACTCAAATCACTCGCAAGTGGTCAGGAATTTTCCATCAGACAAGACGGGAAGGGTCTGATGGTACCTAAAGGGGAAAATCTGTCCTTGGTCAAGAGACTAGATTTTGAAATGAAAAGAGTGTTAAGGAGAGGCTCAACTGGGGGGAAAGTGTCTAAGAACAAAAGGCCTAGACATGAGAAATTGTGGCATTATGAATCTACATTTCAGAAACGCAAAAAAACGAAATATAAGTTTGGTAACTAAGGTTATTTTGCCTAACTCACCATTGTTGGGGTGTAAGTTTTAAATGTACATGGGGAGGACTGTACATGTTATATCCCCTTTGCTCAGCAGTAAAACTTTTGATTGTTCAACTATAAGCTTGTTCTTCTCCTAATCACTGAGTACAATTACAAGTCAAATTTTCCCCGTCATAAATAAGAAGTCATGGTAAATTTTATAAAATAATAAAAAATGGTAGCCTGCCTGCACCCACATATGGAGTTTAACTTGACTTACACTCGAGGGGAAAGTGGGGAGACTCCTACCTGGATCTGAATTACTCAAACAAGGAAGAGTCCCTGAGGCTCTCTCTATGCCCACAGTAATTTGGAGCAGATGGCCAGGAAAAGCCCAGGGCTCCTCATCTAAAGCAGAGTCAGTAAAAAGACTGCGTCTCTGCACAAATATCTGATGATGGTGAATTCCTCATTAAGGTCTAGCGACTTGTGATCTCCGCCACCTGGTAAATTCCACACCGTGATTGGCAATTAATACCACACCATGGTTGGCAATGAAAAGGCAATGAAAAAGCAGAGACTGAAGGGCAGCAACTTGAGAGCCTGAAAACACAGGCAGGTAAAGAAATAAACCCTCTGCACAAGAAGCAAAAGGATCACGACCAAAGCCATGACAAGATCAAACTCCGATACAGAGTATGAGAGCTAGATTCAAGTCCGGTAGCACCTTCCGAGACCATGAGGATTTGGAGGGTATAAGCTTTTGAGAGTCAAAGCCCCAGTTTGGTGTAGTGATTAGGAGCACGGACTCTAATCTGGGAGAATCCGGTTTGATGCCACTCCTCCACATGCAGCTGCTGGTGTGACCTTGGGTCACTTACAAGTTCTCTCAGAGCTGTTGTCTCACGAGCTCTCTCAGCCCCACCTACCGCACAGGGTGTCTGTTGTGGGGAGGGGAAGGGAAAGGAGATTGCAAACTGCTCTGAGACTCCTTTGGGTAGTGAAGGGCAGGGTATAAATCCAATCTCTTCTTCTCTTGCTCTCTTCTTTTGTTGGATACCGACCTGAGAAGGGAGCTTTGACTCTCAAAAGATCGCACCCCCAAACTCCTGATGGTCTCAGAAGGTGCTACTGGAGTCTCATCTTTCTCTTCTATTGCAGACCAACACGGCGTTCACCAGCCCTCTTGCCACGCACCTGACCAGCATGTCGTTCCCTGTCAGCTCCTCAATCAGCAGCGAAAGCAAGCCGCTGTTCACGCAGTAGTTCAGAGCATCTGCTGATGCTGCGGCGATGTTGACAACTAGCTAACACAAAAGCACAGGAAAGGGAGACTTAGAAGCGGAAAAGTTGAGGGTGATTGCGCATGATCTGTCGCATATATGTGCATTCATTCAGAAATCTATTCAGAGTGGTAGAGCTGCATGAAGCTGTAGCAACCGGCACGTCAGCCTTCAGGCAGCTCGACTTCTCGCATGTTGTCTATAAATGAAGAGACGCCGGGGAAGTTGTCCTCCCCAACTTGGCCTTCCTAGGCTGGCTAGTCACTGATGGCAGAGGCAGGGACTCAACGTTTCTGGGCACAATTCAAAGTGGTGGTTCTTACTCTTAAAGCCCTAAATGACTTGGGGGGTCAGGGTTTCTGAAGGACAACTTCCTCCCATATTGTTCAGCCCACCAGCTAAGATCTGCCTGACAAGACCTGCTCTCCATGTTTCCACCTTCAGAGGCGAGGCAGGCAGCAACCAGAGCTGTGGAACCTCACCTGTAGGACGCGTCCTTCCCCTTGAGACTCACCTGGCACTTACGCTACTCTCTTTTTAGACCCCAGGCCAAGAGGTTTCTGTTTAGACCCCAGGCTTTTAATTAAGAGGTTGATCTTTAAAAGTCATTGATAGTGTTTTGTTCTCCAGGACAGGTGGCATAAAAATTCCCGAAGTCAAGGACAACACGCTTGGAGGGTCTGAGGTTCAACATGCGCCATGTACAATTAAAAGCAGACCAGACTGCAGGGGTCGGAAAGACCTCTCTCTGTCAAAAGCCCTGAACAGCCACTGCCAATCAGAAGACACGATACTGAGCTGGGTGAACTGGTGGTCTGCTGGTATACGAATGTTTTCCGAGGCCATTATGGGGGAAAGCTGTGTGCTCAGAGACGTAAGAGCTTAAGTACAGCCTGCTAGATTAGACCATAGGTCCATCTAGTCCAGCATACTTTTTCACACAGTAGCCAGTCAGTTGCCCTGATACTCAGGGGTTTACCGACTCCGAACATGTTCCCTTCAATAGCCACTGATAGACCTATCCTCCATGAATCTGTCTAACCCTCTTTTAAAACTTTCTGCTTCTGGCCATCACTACCTCCAGTGGCAGCAAATGCCAGAGTTTACTTACTCACTGAATAAAGTACTTCCTTTTGTCTGGTCTGAACCTATTCACCATCAATTTCACTGGCTGCCTCCATTTTAGAATTTTAGCATTTTAGAAGAGGGAGGTAAGTTCTCTTTGCCAGTTTGGTGTCGTGGTTAACTGTGTGGACTCTAATCTGGGAGAACCGGGTTTGATTCCCCACTCCTCCACTTGCACCTGCTGATGTGACCTTGGGTCAGTCACAAGCTCTGGCACAGCTGTCCTTGAAAAAGAGCAGTTTGTGTCAGAGTTCTCTCAGCCCCACCCACCTCACAGGGTGTCTGTTGTGGGGAGGGGAAGGGAAAGGAGTTTGTAAGCCGCTCTGAGACACCTTTGGGTAGTGAAGGGCGGGGTATAAATCCAATCTCTTCTCTTCTTCTTCTTCTCTTTGTCCACTCTGCCCCCATGCGTGATCTCATAAACCTCTATCATATCTCATGTTACCTGTCTTTTTCCAAAACTGAAGAGTCCCAGACCCTCCAGCCTTTCCTCATGGGAAAGGTGCTCCAGCCCCCTCTTCACCCGGTGTGCCCTCCTTTAAAGTTTTCCCGGTTCTCTAATGTTCTTTTTGAGATACAGCAACCAGAATTAAACACAGCATTCAAAATGGGGATGCACCATAGCTTTTATGCAAGGGCATTAGAAGATCCTAATCATTCCTAGCCTGGGTTTTGCCCTTTTTCACTACTGCTGCGCCCCGGGTCAACGTTTTTACTGAGCTTTCCCCCCAACAACCCCAACATTTTTCAATCACACTCTCAGCCAGTTTACACCCCATCAGCATATTTTTGTTCCTTACTCTTAGAAATACTGAATTTCATTTGCTCTTTGCAACATGCCTTAATTTGTCATCCCGAATGTATCGGTATCCACTGCACCCCCCTAATTCCAAATCACTTAACAAATTAAACAGCAGTGGTCCCAATACGGATCCTTGTGGGACACCACTGCCCGCTTCCCTCCATTGCGAGAACTGTCCATTTATTTTAAGGAGAAGGAAGCATATGAAGCAACAGGTTCTGCGGCAATCCTGTCCAACGTGCCCACAGAAGACTGGAAATGATACAGCAGAGCTGCTGACACCAAAAACGATCACTGAACGGGTGCTAAGGCAGCTTGCTCAAGCTATCCAGCCGTAAGTGCAAAACCAACTGGAACAATTCAGAACAAGGTGAAACAAAACAGTATCGTCAGCTGGTTCGCTTCGCCTTCCTGCAGAACACTTGAGCAGCAAGTAACCCCGATATATTTACAATAATTAAAGCAAAATTTTCATGACTAAGAAGAATGGCTTGAGCAACAGGGTAACGCTCTTGGAGGTAAGACGCTTTTAAATTTAAACTGGAATCTCAAATTCCTACTTCTAATCGTTTTGCTCCCCTGGTGGAGGTTGCTGACGAGATGGTAGAGCTGCTTGGGTCTCCTCCTTCTCCCACGCCTCAGAATGAGGGATCTGTGCACTCCTCTTGGAGCCCAGAGAAAGGAAGTGGGAAAGTATTTAATGAGGCTTCAGAAGATCTTATTTTGCTCACAGCCAGGACGGTGGGATACATTTACAGAGAGCTCCATCTACTGAATTCCAAGTTAGATGATTTGATCGAACAGAGGAACAGGATCCATAATCCTGGTAATATTATTACAATTTTGAAAGGTGAGACTCATCCAGATGTGACTGTCAACTCGGCTGCAATCCCCAATTCCAGCAAATCTGACAACCAAGAACGAAGCAGAAATGAGATTATAGCCTTTTCAATTGGTTCTGCAGCCAAAAAGGATATGTCTACAAACCTGCAGATATAAAGGTTCCATCCCTTCCTGGAGGTTGCCTTCGCTTATCCGGAATCATTGAAGAGAGCTCTTCGGACAGCATATCAGATATGTGGATATTAAATCAACTGAATCTCTTAATGAACCTAACCAAGTTCAGAAATTCTTGTTGATTTTCAGCTCTTCTTTTATCCCTGGACTATTACTACACCATAAGGACTTCTTATACTCCAAGGGAATTTCCCCTATCCATGTTTTCAAGGATTTGTCATTATCTCCACTGCTTCCCAAGATTTCATGCTGTAAGAGTCCTCGCTATGACAAGCTTCCTTCCAATGCTTTGGATACTATTCGGAAGGGCAATATTTTAAATAAGCCTGTTGTTTCAAATGTTATTAATGCTGCTAATAGCTCTAATGACCTAATAACATGGTCTGACTCTCCTAAAAGATCTCCTATTTTAGACAATAGCCCTTTAGAGTCTGAAATCTCAGAATCATTTAAGACTTTGTCTGAACAAAGATCTGTTAGAGACAAGTAATCTCATCTAGCATAGCCTGAATTCAGACACTGGCAGTTTAGAACAGGGGTGGAAACAGCTCAGCCTCCTACTTCCCCTTCCCGCATGAGAGGAGGCAAGAGCTGGAGAAAGAAGAGGCCTAACCTACTAGAACCTCTGGAACAGAAAAGGCAGGCAGAGTGGATGGGGGGGGAGCAAGACCCCTAGCGCAGGCCTGCACATCTTGCAGCATGCCCGTCGACGCCAGGAGTCAGGGGGCAACAGGTGCTCAACAGCCACCAAATGCAGGAAGCTCAGAAAGCCACTGATGAGTCTGCATGTTTATCACAGCAGCAAGAGCAAGTACAGGGTAGGGGGATACAGAGCTGGCCTATGACCAGAGAGCAAGAACAGGATTCAAGCCACACCTGGACCAGGAGGCTCACTTGGATGACCTCGGGTCAGCTAGTGCCTCTCAGTCTTACATACCCCACAGGATTACTGGGAGGATACAGTGGAAAAAGAGAGCCACATATCCTTCCACAAGCTCCTTGGAGGAAAAGCAGGATAAATACACAACTAATGGATGACTTGTTGTAGAGGCCCTGCAGGCATCTTGAGCCTCAACTTCCATGTGCATTCATCATGCCAGCACCTATTGGATCCAGATTAAGTTTTTCTATGGCAGAACATATTCCCCCACCCACTGCAGCCCACTGATCTCCATGAAATGCTGCTCTGGTAGGACAGGAGACCCTGAGGAATCACATGAGGGGAGTCCTCAGGAAGAAAGCGGAATCAGTGGAAACTGTCAATTTAGACTAGATCCAACCCATAATATATAGCACGCTCTGAACAACCCGTCTTGCCAGCACGGAAACGCTGCAGTCCTTCGGTTTTAGAAGAGGATGGCTGATGCCCTCTTCTCCTCCACGATGCTCATTCAACTCGATTTGCTCTGTCATCTTTCAGCGGCTTCCTTCCAGAAGGACAAAAACCATTTCCTGTATACCACACAACCCCTCAGCTGTTACCCACTGAGATTTACAAAGCAGCCAGGCCACCAAAAAATAGAAAGGTTCTTGCCTCGTATACTCGGTAGCGTATGATGTCACTCTTGGCCATGACATTTTTCAAATCAACCAGCAAGTTGCCCTCCAGCAATGCCTCCAACCCTTCAGGGGATTGAGCTATTCTTGACAGTGACTTGATGGCCTGGAAAACAAAGAACAGCTGTAAGAGCAAGAGCAGCAATGGACAACGAGATCAAAAACCAGCATGACCTTCATCAGGTATGAAATGTATTCAAGTTGCAAATGATTGAGGAGGGATGGGCACAGCTACCCCTGCATCTAAAACACAACATTTTGAATTAATTCTGATGTTACTGTTTGGACAAGGAATAATTCAGAACACTTTGCTCAGTTTTCAGATTTATAAAGTAATGTGCATCAAGGAAGGAAAAACTAAAAAGGTACAAGAGTTTAGATTTCCATATCCTTCTTGGATACTTTGGGAACTATATCTGATTTGTTTGCATTGTAAGCATCCTAAAATATTTTCCCCCCGACGTCCAACCAATGATGCTTGCAGTTCGCCTGTCCCTTTCAAGTTTGATGCTATCTTTGACCAACGGAAAAAGACATTTTCCAAGTCTCTTCTCGAAGCTCCCTGGACCAATTGCAGGTGTCCTCCCTTGCATTTAGAATCTGAAGCAAAAGCTCCTTTCTGCAACCATGTCCCATTTATGGAAGACCCTCCCGAGGTAGACTTGCCAGGTGCCTTCTCTACCCAACATCAGGCGGAGTCTTCTCCTGTTTGCCCAGGCTTTAGGGATGGAAATTTGTTTCTTTCTTCCTTTCTGTGGTTGCCCAGACCGTAAGAAATAGGCTGCCATACAGCAGCTGGCCAGATTTAAACAAACAAAAAAAAAAGAACAGCTCTCTCAGTTTGCACTTTATTTTTATGGGCTTTATGGCATTGTTTTATTGTCAGCGATTTTGGATCCGGTGTGGGGACATTTTTCACATCGCAAATAAAACCCTGCTGGATCTGACGAAGGGCCCACCTAATCCGGCATCCGGCTTTCAACAGCTGCCAACCAGATGCCTCGGGGAAGCTGCCAAGCAGAGCATGAAGAGCACTGCCGTGCCCAGCTTCTGGCTTTGTGAGGCATGTGGTCTCACTCTCCCCACGGTAGCTCCATTTAGCTCTCGCGGATAATCGCCACTGATAACTAACTAGATAACTATCCGCCTTTAAGCCCTCTTTAGGACCACCTAGGGCGCTCAACGGCTTTGCTAATCCAGGCCACGGTCTTATCTCACAGCAATGAATTCGGTAATTCTGAGTGCTTCTTCTAGGTCACACGTTCTGTGTAACCAGACAGAAGAACAGAGGAGTTTTCCAAATAAGCTTACTAGGGAAGAAAAAAAAGACTCCCTGCCCATATAGCATTGCAGGTCGGTCCAGGACACACATACCTATTTCAGAGATTGGTGGTACACCACAGGGCTAAGAGAACCAGGAACTAACTCCTAAGGCATCCGGTGTCATTCAGCAATTAGACAGCTGGACTAGGATTGAGGAGATTTGGATGCCAATTCCTAACTCAGCAGGTTCACTGGATATCCTAGGGCTATCCCCCGCCCCTGCCTTCAGCCTTACCTATCTCCCAGGGTGGTTGTGAGGAAGATCTACACATGCCACCATGAGCTTCATGTCTGAAGAGACAGAAGCACCGAAGAGGCTATTAACACATCCTTGTTACAGTCAAAGCACTGCAACTCAGCAACTCAGCATCAGCTTGAAACTCTTACCTCCTTGGCCAAGGAAATTTTCTCTGCAGCAATGCAATAAATGATCTGCCTCAGCAATTCTGGAGTGTTGAGGATTTCTTTAACAGCATCGCTGTCTTCAACGATCCTTCCAACCTAAACAATTCAACACTGCATAAGACATCAGAGCAGCTCCCAACAGCTGCATATTTTACAAGCTTGCGCCGTTAAATAAAGCATTCCAACTTTTCCCTCCCTTCACCAGAGATGATCTTTGACATATGCGTATTTAGACGCATGACTAACCAATCGAGATTTCTCCAAACAATTGGCAGCCTGGGGGTTAGCGAGTACATTCCAGGATGTTAAGACTGCGGTATGTCAGCTTAGTATGGTGCGCAGGCCAGAGAGATAAACCGGGGAAACCTGCATCCAGCTCCCCAACTCAACTGTGCCATTTTGAAAGAGCAAGATGTGGCACCAACCTGAGATATCGTAAGGATTTTGACTGAATCGTGTTGATGGAAGAGGCCTTTCTGAAGTTGTTCCCCGAAGTGTCGGATGACGTATAAGGGGTCCATGGCTTGGAGGAAGCGGTCCAGGATGGCGATGCATGAAGAGATCTGCTCACTGTTTTGCAAAGGGGAGAAAAGAGACAAGAGAAAGCCAGGCAGTGGTTAATAAAATTCAGTCCAGAGGCGTAATCCAAATGGACGCTGTTCACCGTGGCTTCATACGATTTCAGCCATTTATCATCATTAAGGCCCTGCTTCTTAGAATAACAAGCTTAAAGCAAACAAGCTCCAATCAGTTATGCTACCATACAGACCAACCAACACCAATGACAGAACAACTTCTCAACTGAGGCAGAAACGCACAGAACAGTAGCCACACATCACATGCGGAAGATTTATGGCAGTTCTTAATACTTCTTACTGCCTTTCTATTGTATTTTATCCCACTTTTTCAGTCAAAAAAAATCTGGTTCCCAGAGGAAACCATTTAAAAACTATATTTAATGGCAGCCTGGAGGAATGGGTAACTCAGATCCAAACCTAGATCCAACACAGTGTTATTTGGACCTCCCCCCTCCATGAGCCAAGGGACAGTGTGTACCTAGGCAGGGTGTCCCTATCCACACATCCCACTTTGCTCTTAGAAAAACCACCAAGCCAAGACATAGTCCCCAGCCCAAGGTCACCCAGTGAGCTTCACAGCTTAGTGGGGATTTGAACACTGAGCTTCCTACTCGGAGGCCAACATTCAAGCCATGACGCCATGCTGGCGGTTACAAATCAACCATGACGAACTCAACCCACCAGCCCCATGTTGTTGCCTGCCGGGTTCTCAGACACCTGTTTTTGCAGTCCTCAGCTAAGTAACCAAGCACAAGATTTTTACATCAAGCTCTTGGTGGGCTGCCACACATGGCTGATATCATTCAACATCATGGTGGATCATGGGTTTCTTCATGCCCGCTCCAACACCAAGCCAATGCCGCTTAAACAAATCCCCCACACGTAATATCAGTAATAAAACAAGAAGGCAAACACTTTGACATGTAACAGAGTTTTAACTCATTTTCAGAACAAAATTTAACACTCCCAACTAATGCTCCCTCTAAGCTGTGGAGTGTCATGCGCAAAAATTCTACTTTGTGAGCTACTGGCATTAAAGTTGTGAGCGAGCGATTTGGCAGCTGCATAAATTTAGTTTGCTTTGTAGCCATCCTTCCTGAGCTAAAACAAAAATCTGTGAGCTGGAGGCTAAAAAACTGTGAGCTAGCTCATGCTAACTGAGCTTACAGGGAACACTGCTCCCAACTCAGCATTTAAAGACCACCTTAAACCACTATCAATGCTTTGAATTAGTATGAGGTTTTAGGAGACATTTTTAGGTACCATTTTTAAATCTTAGGTAAGCTATGAGATGGAAACCACTCTGATATCTAAATAAGTGCTTGCGTTTAAAATATTAATTTAATGATAATACATTTAAATTTTATTTCTCTTCAGATCACATACATCTTTCACCTTATACTAAGATATTTATTGGGGCAGGAGCTTTGGAGAACCACATTTCACCTCCTCACATGCACTCAGTAGAGGGAAGAATACAGAGGAAGGGGGGGAGAGAGAGAACGAACGAGAACAGGGAGGGGAATAAGGGAGATGCTATTACCAAGTATTACAAGAACACAGATGAAAATATTACAGAACACAGATGAAAAAACAAAATTTCACCCCAAAGAGTGAATGAACCAATGAGTGTGAAGTTGTGAACCACTCCTAACTGTCCACAGATAAGGATCAACAGTTACCTTCTGTAGAGAACTAGGTAGTTACTCACAATCCCTATTATGGCCAAGTATCAAATCTGGATGCCAATGCCAGATCTGTAGTTTTCCTTTCAATTTTTGCTTCTGAAGTACAGCTATCTTTAAGTCTTTTATTGAATGCCAGGAAGGTTTGCAACATACCCCCACCAATGCTCCCTCTAAGTTGTGGAGTCTTGTGAGCAAAAATCCTACTTTGTGAGCTACTGGCATTAAAGTTGTGAGCAAGCGATTTGGCAGCTGCATAAATTTAGTTTGCTCTGGGGCCATCCTTCCTGAGCTCATACAAAAATGTGTGAGCCGGAGGCTAAAAAACCGTGAGCTAGCTCACACTGACTCAGCTTAGAGGGAACACTGACCCCCCCACTAGTTTCTGAGAGTTTTCATTTGTGGGCTTCTACGGACCTCCAAGGTACAACCCTGGGCTCTAGACCCTCCATCTAATGCTGGTATCAATTCAACCCCTGTAGTTACTCAAGTCACATCATCACAATACCCAGGGACCACAACCACACACCCCACCCAGGCCTCATCTAATTGCACATCGCCAAACATGATCGTGTGCTCGCAATGCCCTTCTGTCCTTTACACTGGTCAAACTGGACTGTTTCTACACAAGAAAACAAACGAATTAAAAACAGAAACTCAGGAACCTCTGAGGGAACACTTCAACCTCACTGGACATTCAACAGGAGTCTAAATGTTTGTCACGTTTCTGTAAAAAACCAGTGGTGGGGGGAGCCTGCGGCAGGAAGCTGTTGAGAAGGAACCTATGTGCAGACTTAACGCTGTTAGATTAAGTCTGAAGAGAGATTAACTAGCTCACCACTGAAAGCAATTGAGCCTTCTTACTGGGTGGTTGTTGTTCAGTCGCACAGTCGAGTCCGACTCTTCGCAACCCCATGGACCAGATCACGCCAGGTCCTCCTGTCTTCCACCGTCCTCTGAAGTTTGCTCAACTTCATGTTCGTTGCATCTATGACACTGTCTAACCATCTCATCCTGTGCCGTCCCCGTCTTCTTTGACCTTCAATCTTTCCCAGCATCAGGGTCTTCTCCAGTGAGTGCTCCCTTCTCATTTGATGGCCAAAGTATTTGCGCTTCAGTTTCATTATCTGGCCTTCCAGGGAACAGATAATTTCTTACTGGGTATGGACACCATTCAGCTTAGTTTGCCTATTTCCATGATGTCTTGTGCTTTCAATGGCAATAAAGGTTTTGTGTGTGTGTGAAGCTTAGTTTGCCAATTCATTAATAGCTGGGAGTGGCCCACACCCACTCTGACTGGACTGCTTACTCTAAAGACTGGATCTTTTTCAGCTGTATTCTGCACTGTCAGGCCACACACCTCCAACTCCGAAAGATGGGCCTTCTGGTCTCTAGTTGTAATAACCCCTATCCTGTTTCTGCCTTTGTGCCAACTGAGGGTAATGCTTCACCCATCTGACAAAGCAGGCTTCAGCTCTTTAAAGCTTCTGTCAATCATTCCCTTACTCTTAAGATGTCCCAGAATATACTGTTTTTATGAGGTTCTTGCTTTAGCTTTGACACAGCTAAGGCCTGGTCTGAGCTCTTGCAAAAAGGCTGAAGATCAGGAGTCACATGCACAAAGTATTATCTTCAGCTGGTATGCAAAGGCACAGAGGGGAAAAATGCAGCAGGTGGGGCCAAAAAATCTTGACATGCAAGACAACCACTGTAGGTCAGTGACATTTCTATATAAAGCCCAAATTAATAATAGAACTAACATTCCATGCATCTGACAATTTGGGCTCTGGTCAAGAAACCTGACAGAAGAGTATATCTACTGCTTTTTATGATGTCACAATATTGTTGACTAGAAGAGACTAGTGCAGCTGCTCCATGAGGGCAAAAAAAGGCTATTTAAGCTATTTTTTTCAACCTCTTCTCCCTAAAACGCACACAAAACTGTTTACGAGATTGAAAAAATATCCAAATACTCAGCCAAGTAAGCAAACAGCCAAAACCACTTTAAACAAAAAGAATGAAACCTTAACCAGGTTTAATAAAGACTACCAGCATAGCGTCATGGCTGGAGTATCAGATTAGGATCTGAGACTCAGGTTCGAATCCTCACTCTGCCATGGAAGCTCAGTGGGTGATCTTGGGCCAGTCACACACACCCAGCATAGCCTACCTCACAGGCTTGCTGTTATAAGGAGAAAACAGAGAAGGGGAGAACAATGGGGAGGAAATCAAAGTTTAAACAGGTAAAGACTACTCCGCTTCCACTCTGTATTAAACCCACTGAGGTTTTTTTGGATATGGTACCTGAATACTTTAAATAAAAATAAAGCAAGCAAATAAGTTAAACCAGCAACGCAACTACTTTTTAAACTTTTTAAAAGCAGCAAGTGCGTTCGTTAAATCAGCTATCCATTCCTTCTTATTGCATTTGTATGCTCCCCCCCCCCTTTTCCCTTGAAGATACATAAAGGCCGCTTTCGACAATTCCCTTTGGACACCGGCCCTAGCTCAAACTCGAAACGAAGAGCTGAAAAATCAGAAGCAAACAAGCGACTGATCCATGCAAGCGCTCGACACACAAGGGTCTCGGTCCTGCCCGCACCTGTCACCCTGCGCCATGAGGACGAAGAGCCCATCCAAGGGGAACTGCGAGCCCCGCTCCCGGAGAGCGCCGGGCTGCAGGGACTCCACCGCCACGCGCAGGTTCCGCAGCTCCTCAACGGGGTCCTGCACCCCCGAGAGTCGGCTGAGCAGCTCCATCGCGGCTTCCACTCCTGGCGTCGCCATCTTGGATGTGGCTGGAACGGGGAGGGAGGAGGAGGAAGAAAAAGGAGGGAGGGGAAGGAAAGGGGAGGAGCCTCGCGAGACTTCTGCCCCAGCAGCCACCCAGGCGGCCGCGTAACTAAGGCGCCCCTCTCGCGTCAGTCCCGCTAGTCAGGGGGGCCCGCCCCCTTTGTCTTGAAAGCCGCGTGCCGCCTTTGCGCACCCGCTCCTGATTGGCCGGTAGGAAAAAGGCGGGGCGGAGAAGGCGGGGCGGATTCGCGCGCTCATCGGTCCCCCGGGTTTTTAGGGGGTTCTGGCAGACCTGTAGCCAGGATTTTGGAATTTGCGGGGCAATTTTTTTTCCCGGTGGGACTGCCATTTTTGCCATTACTTTTCTGTATGTGCACAACTGCACAGAACAATTTGTGCCCCTTTTTCTCGCCCTGATCTTGCAGTTGTTGTTGTTGTTGTTCAGTCGCACAGTCGAGTCCGACTCTTCGCGACCCCATGGACGAACTCTCGCCAGGCCCTCCGGTCTTCCGCCGTCCTCTGAAGTTGGCTCAACTTCATGTTCGTTGCATCAATGACACTGTCTAACCATCTCATCCTTTGCCGTCCCCGTCTTCTTTGACCTTCAATCTTTCCCAGCATCAGGGTCTTTTCCAGTGAGTGCTCCCTTCTCATTTGGTGGCCAAAGTATTTGAGCTTCAGTTTCATTATCTGGCCTTCCAGGGAACAGTCAGGGTTGATTTCTTTGAGGATTGACTGATTTGTTCTTCTTGCAGTCCAAGGGACTCTCAAGAGTCTCCTCCAGCACCATAGTTCAAAAGCATCTATTCTTCGGCGCTCGGCCTTCCTTATAGTCCAGCTCTCGCAGCCATACATGACTACTGGGAATACCATTGCTTTGACCATGCGGACTTTTGTTGGCAGGGTGATGTCTCTACTTTTTATCATGCTGTTTAGGTTCGCCATCGCTTTCCTCCCAAGGAGCAGGCGTCTTTTAATTTCATGGCTGCAGTCACAGTCTGCGGTGATCTGGGATCCCAGGAACGTGAAGTCTGTCACTACTTCCACAGCTTCCCCTTCTATTTGCCAAGGAGTGATGGGGCCGGATGCCATGATCTTAGTTTTTTTGATGTTGAGCTTCAAGCCCACTTTTGCGCTCTCCTCTTTTACTCTGAACAAGAGGCTCTTTAGATCCTCTTCACTTTCAGCCATTAGAGTGGTATCATCTGCATATCTGAGGTTGTTGATCTTTTCCCCAGCAATCTTAATTCCCGCTTGTGATTCATCCAGGCCAGCATTTCGCATGATGTACTCTGCATATATATTAAATAAGCAAGGTGACAATATACATCCTTGTCGTACTCCTTTTCCTATGCTGAACCAATCAGTTGTTCCATATCCGGTTCTAACTGTCGCTTCTTGGCCCTTATACAGGTTTCTCAAGAGACATGTGAGGTGGTCTGGTACTCCCATCTCTTTAAGGACCTGCCATAGTTTGTTGTGATCCACACAGTCAAAGGCTTTAGCATAGTCAATGAAGCAGAAGTAGATATTTTTCTGGTACTCTCTTGCTTTCTCCATAATCCAGCGAATGTTGGCAATATGATCTCTCGTTCCTCTACCTCTTCGAAACCCAGCTTGTACTTCTGGTAGTTCTCTATCCACGTACTGTTGAAGCCTAGCTTGTAGGATCTTGAGCATGACCTTGCTAGCGTGTGATATGAGTGCAATTGTGCGATAGTTTGAACATTCCTTGGCATTGCCCTTCTTTGGGATTGGAATGTATACTGACCTTTTCCAATCCTGTGGCCACTGTTGCGTTTTCCAAATTTGCTGGCAAATGGAGTGCAGAACTTTAACAGCATCATCTTCTAAGACTTTGAATAGCTCAGCTGGAATACCATCACCTCCACTAGCTTTGTTGTTAGTAATGCTTTCTAAGGCCCATTTAACTTCACATTCCAGGATGTCTGGCTCGAGGTCAGTGATTATACCGTCGTGGTTGTCAAGGACATCGAGGTCTTTCTTGTATAGTTCTTCTGTGTATTCTTGCCATCTTTTCCTAATCTCTTCTGCTTCTGTTAGGTCCCTACCGTTTTTGTCCTTTATCATGGCCAGCTTTGCATGGAACGCTCCCTTGATTTCTCCAACTTTCTTGAAGAGATCTCTAGTCCTTCCCATTCTATTGTTTTCTTCTATTACTTTGCACTGTTCATTCAGGAAGGCCTCCTTATCTCTCCTTGCTGTTCTCTGGAAATCTGCGTTCAGTTGGGTAAATCTTTCCTTTTCGCCTTTGCCTTTCGCTTTCCTTCTTTCCTCTGCTATTCCTCTTGCAGTAGATTCTCCTAAATGCAAAACCCATTTTGGGGAGGATGAGTCGGGAATTGAACCTAGTATTGACGCTCCCCCCCCCCAATTCGCTTTCCTTCTTTCCTCTGCTATTCCTCTTGCAGTAGATTCTCCTAAATGCAAAACCCATTTTGGGGAGGATGAGTCGGGAATTGAACCTAGTATTAAC